TAATGTGATGTAGTGTACATACTTGTCATTGACAAGGGACAGAGCATCTTCTGATCTGACCTTGGGTTCTTCAATACAGTTTGCATGTTCCCTCTGTGTTCATGGGAGTTATCCAGGTGCTCTGACTTGCTTCCTCTTTAAAAGATACACTGGAGAAGGGGTGGGTGGGCAGTTAACACATTGCCCCTATTTGCACAAGTATGTGTGTCCTGTCCCACAAGTAGCTCTGCCTTGCACTCTACCGGGCTGCTGGGAGTCTTACCTGGAGTAAGGTAATAAGTGACAGTCGGATAATGGCAGAAAGGATACAAGGCCTTTTCTGTTTCGGTGCTTTTGCTCTCTCTCCCCCATTCAAATTCAGAGAGCTTTATTAAGAGGAGTGCTGAAATACTGCGCTGCCAAAGACATAACAGTGAACAAGACCTTCCAAATATTAAAAACGCATTGCGAGACTCTCCCTCTCTTCATTTGGGTTGTAAAATAGAAGCAAAAATGAGCTCTCTGTCCTGACAACCAATCTCATACACGGCTTCCTGGTAGGCTTTTGAGATATTAAGCCGACAAGAACAGAAGTGAATTTCTGAAAGGTAGAGTTGGACTTTAAACCTGGTGTATGTTGTAGAGACTCTTGCTTTTGGCAGAGCATGCCCTGTGTGCCTAGTCCTTCAGTGCCCTCATAGCCAGGTCAAAACTCCCCCTCTCTCAGTTGGTATCTCTAAGTCACAGGAGAATCAGGGAGCTGTCCAGGACGCTTTCAGGGGCAGGTTACCTTCATTTAAGATAAGCTGGCAGGAGTTTGGTTCGTAAGCACACTTGTAGATTCCTCCAGTTCTGTTGTCTTTTAATGGAGCGCTGACGATGATCCTGAGACACAGAACAAAGGGTAGTCAGACTCCCTCAACACACTCCTCTGAAAAAGAAATTTAACAACATTAAATGGTCACAGATGAGAGGAAGCTGTTGGGCCCACCTAAATGCTTGGTAGCTTTTGGTTAATTGACGCCATGATCTCATCCAGCTGTTCCTTCAGCGACATGACAGGGCAACTTGTTCCACCTGCATAGGAGGCTTTACATTACACAAAGGGTGGTGGGAGTGTGGAACAAGCTGCCCGGCCTTGTTGTTGAACAAGCCGATACCCTGGCTGCTCTCGAGAAACAGCTGGATGAGATCCTCCAGTCAGAACAGGAGGCTCTTCTTTACACACAGGGTGGTAGGAGTGTGGAACAAGCTGCCCAGCCCAGTGTGTTGTTAAAGCTGATACTCTGACTTCTTACAAGAAACAGCTGGATGAGATCCTGCAGTTAGGACAGGAGACATTACCTTACACAAAGGGTGGTGGGAGTGTGGAGCAATAACAGAGATAATGGCCGGGTAATTGGCCAGGCTACCAGAGAGAGAGCGACCCTTATAGATGTTGAGGCGTGGGCTGTTTTGTGCCTCTGCAGACAGGAAGACAACCCCAAGCAGAACAAGCAGACATGGGTGCAGATGAATTCAGGAGCCGAGCTGTGTCGGTTCTCAGCGCGCCGCTGGTCTCGGCGTTGGGAAACGGCGCAGCTCGAGAGCGAGCTCTTATCTCACCCTGCAGCGCCGAGACCTCTCACACTCGACAAACAGCCGTGTTTCTCACGAAGTCCGCTGGGCGCGCGTGTGTGGGTGTGTGTGTGTGTGGGGGGTGGGGAGGTGGAACGTGAGAAAACATGCACGTCTGTGAGTTCACCTCAATTTCACCCTATTCTTATCTTGCAAAATCGACTGCAGGGCCTCTGCAGACCCCTCATGGGCCCCTCATGGAGTCCGAGCTCCCATTCAGCCCTCCTTGCACGTTCCCTCGATCGAGGGGGGTAATTACATGAGCACATAAGATGAGAGGAGGATAATTGGCCCTTCCAGCCTGTTTGGTATTTGGACGTTAAATGATCCCCTCAGCTGCTTCATGAAGAAAAATCAGGGTATCGGCTTCAAAAACATGACTGGGCAGCTTGTTCCACGCTCCCACCACCGTGTGTGTAAAGTAGAGCCTCCTGTCCTGACTGGAGGATCTCATCCAGCTGGTTCTTGCAAGAAGTCTGGGTATCGGCTCCAACAACAACACGACTAGGCAGCTTGTCCCACACTCCCACTACCCTTTGTGTAAAGTAGAGCCTCCTGGTTCATGTTACTCTGGGAGAGTTTTATAGCCATTAGGAATCTGAAGCCGCACTAGCGAGGAAGTGTTTTTATTAGAAAGGTCTACAGCTGGATCCACCGGCAGAGAATCTCTCTCTCTCAGAGAGCAAACTGAGCTCCAGGGCCCAGAGCTCGCCGCGGGATCACGTCGCAAGCAAACTGTGACCGGGATTCCCAGTGGCAGGGCACGGGTAGCAGAGTGCCACCAGGGGGGCGGTAGGGCTGGGATTAGGCAGCCCGGGCTATCTTGCAACAGAGCGGGAGACACACTGAGAGAGAGGAGATCACGAGAATCCCTTAGTAATAAACACACACAACAGGACAGGAGACACAGTGAGAGGAGATCACAGAGAATCCCTTATTAATAAACACACACAACAGGACAGGAGACACAGTGAGAGGAGATCACAGAGAATCCCTTAGTAATAAACACACACAACAGGACAGGAGACACAGTGAGAGGAGATCAAAGAGAATCCCTCATTAATAAACACACACAACAGGACAGGAGACTCAGTGAGAGAAAGAGGAGATCTCAAAACATTCTTGTAAAAGGAACCTTTCTTTTAAACTATTGAGAAAGAGTCATCTAATTTGGCTTGATTTCAGCAGCTTTAGTTCCCCAGTTCCGCTGTTGCAATTTGACTCTGAGTTCAACTTCTGCTTCACTTTTATGTATAGTGATTCTCACTATTACATTGAGCCAAACATGTCAAAAAGTCCCTTGCTAGTTAACTGTTTAACTGTTTCGCCTCTGTACTGCATTTTTAAAGACAGGCCCAAACTGTCTTTATCATGCTCTTTATCACCCTACAGGGAGTAGGGTAGGTCAATCCTGAATGACTGCCATTCAGGAGGAACATGCAGACTCCCCCCAGACACTCACTCGCAAGAGCGCCGCACACTACCAGGCTGCGGAGGCGTGCGGTTTCGTTTGCACCCCCTCTGACGAAGGTTTTTGCACCCGTCTGCTAAACGGGCCCCTGGTGTCAGTAAAGCATGAGGCAGGCGAACTCAATTCACAGCACAACAGTGTGGTAAGAAACCACAAGAAACTGGCATCAGTTGCAGCACAGTTGCAGAACCCCCAGACCTCAGTCATGTCCACTTGGAGAGTCGGGATCACAAACAGCCCCCATCCAAGCTGTGCTTTCTGTAGGTAGGGCATGCTCCTTACAGAATCCGTAAAGATTTAGACAGGGGTGTTTGGATGCTAGCTAGCTAGCTGCGAACGAGACTCTGTGACCTGTCTTTGGGTTGGTGCTGTCCAGTGTCATAATGCTGGCAAGTGGCTAATTTAAGCCGTAAACCAGACTTCTACTGTAAAGACGTCCAGAGATCTTACAAAATGTTTGAGGGGACATCATGCCAGGTGGAAAATGACTCTGTTTCCAGTGGAGACAAAGTGTTAATTCCCATTGTCAGTAATTGCTGGGAAAGTAAATATGAACTCAAATACGGTGCCTAGGAGTCGTGGGAGTGAGCTCCACGTTGACTCCTGTCAGTGCTTTGTTGTTGCCGTCTATATCGGCCTCCTTGCTCTCCGCCATCTTGTCACAGTCTGTCGATTGTCTGCATGGGAGCCCAAGCGAGAATGACTGTCTCTCCCCTGAGGATCAAGCGCTCTAAATTTAGTGCGGAGAGCGTGAGCTGTTGCCCTGCTGGGATCCCACTGCCATGTCTCAGCTTAGTCCCACCCTGAGCCACACGGCACTTCCTGTGCCCATTAATTCCCCTAGGCTGAAGGGCCTGCCCCCCCCACTGTGTGTCTGCCAAGAAATCAAACAGCCTGATAAAAAAACTGCTGAGAAACATTCGATAGAAAAAGCACTGCCACAGCCACAAACTGAAGAGCAAAGCAGAGAGGGTCAGATGGCCCTTTAGAGACAGTTTTTGCTCTTATCTTCTTCCAAATCTAAATACTTGTTCAAATAAAAAAGAGAATATTATATGATTTTGCTATGAAGTACTGTGGTTTTAAGTGATCTGACTCCAGTTTTATATACTATGAAGTGACTTTACTATGAAGTTTTCCACTCCGCAGTGCCCACAGTCGGATTTCTACACTGTCAACAACTTAAGATGTTCCTAATGCGTTCAGTCCCTTTTCAGAGTCCACAGAAAACCGTATTACCCAGCAGTCAGTCCTCTACAGCTTATTTTACTATATAATAACTGTACTATGGTTTACTGTGATATGACTGTAGTATGATGTACTGTATCATAGTTAACTACACAATGACTGTACTATGATGTTTTATGGTTTACTATGACACTATACTTACTGTGGTTTACTGTGATGTCACTGTGCTATGATGTACTGTATCATGGTTTGCTATGCAATGTGACTTTGCTTTACTGTGATATGACTGTACTACGGTGTATTATGGTTTACGGTGCAGTGACTTACAGTGGTGCAGTGTGCCGTGTGTGACAGCAGCTTGGGTATGTCGACGGGCTCTCCAGCTGTGCATAGCCACGCCTCTTTCAGCCTGCAGGGAAACCCTCTCTGCTTCTCCCCTCTCCCACACACTCTCCTCCTGCAGCAGTGCTGCCATGCGCAGCAATATCTCCTCCGCACACTGCAGCTCGTGGACTCTTGGGCTCAGAGTTTCACACCTGTGACACGTCGCCCTACATATCTCGTCCACACACTCGGTCCTCCCTGGCCTCCTCTGAG